CCCCCCCCCCTTGCATCTTCGGGCGGGTGGCAACGGCTTGGATGTTGACCTCGGCATTGGTGGGGCACTGTCCACAAGTCTTAAAGTTGCCAAGGTTGGACACCCCTGAGCTAGACCATTGGTCAAACTAGCCACTATGATCTACCTGGAAGACCTCCTGGCTTTTAGAGAATATGGTACCTTCCTCCCCATTTTCTTTTGATAACGACTTTTTCCCAATGGGAGGTGTTAGAAACATGCCCCCCACCCAAGCTGTTTTCGCTGGCAGAGGCACCGTGGACCGGTCCTTCGCCATTTCCAAGGTGGCCCTGCAGGCCAGGTCTAAGCATGGCACGGGCCTTGAGTGTGACACCCCTGACATACAGCTTTCCAGGTCGTAAGGGATGGGTACAGGAAGTCCTCAAGTTACAACCGTTCCTTTAGCATTTGTTCAAAGTTACGAAGGTGGCATTGGAAAAAAAGTTACTTATGTGACGGGTGCTTGTACTTTCAACAGCCGCAGCTCTCCCAGAGTCACACAATCAAAATTCCAGGGATTGGCAACTGGCAAGTAGTTAGTCCTCGACTTACAACAGTTCATTTAATGACCGTTCAAAGTGACAACGGGCACTGGTAAAAGTGACTTATGACCATTTTTCATAGTTACGACCTTTGCAACATCCCTATCCTCCTGTGATCAAAATTCAGACACTCGGCAAATTGGTTCATACTTATGACCGTTGCTGTGTCCTGAGTTCACGGGATCCCCTTTTGCAACAAGCATGGTCACTGGGGAAGCCAGATTCACTTAACAACTGAGTTGAGTAATTTTTATCAACTGCAGGGATTCACTTAACGATCATGGCAAGAAAGGTCCTAAAATGAGGGAGGGGGAAAAAAAAACCCTCACTGAACACATATCTCACTTAACAAGAGAAATGTTGAACTCAGTTATGGTCGGAAGTCGAGGACTACCTGTATTTACAACGATTGCAGCATCTCAGGGTGACGTGATCTCCATTTGCGACCTTCCCAGCTGGCTTCTCATATAAGCAAAGTCAGTAAGACGGCCCTATTCACTGCGTGAATCATTTAGTGAGTCATTTAATAATTCTGCCAAAAAAGGTCATAAAATCAGGTGCAGCTCACTTACCGTGTTTCTCATATAATAAGGCCGGGTCTTTTTTTTTTTTTGAGCCCCGAAAAAATGGCTAGACCGTCTTTTCGGGGGTGACTTAATCCCCCCCCCCTTGCATCTTCGGGCGGGCGGGCGGCGACGGCTTGAATGTTGACCTCGGCGTTGGTGGGGCACTTCGTATCGGGGTCAATGCAGGCAGCACCATATCCGGGTGTGCAACAAAAGTACTTCCTAATGGCAAGCCCCCCCACCATTCCCTCCCATTTCGCATGTTTTAATATAGGCCTTAATTTGGGGGGAGGGGCTTAATTTCATTTCATGCCTATAAAACATGCTGGGACTTCCTATTGTTGGAGAAACAGGGTACTAACCACTTTACTTCGCAATGGAAATTCTGGTACCAACTGTGGTCATAACTCAAGGAGTCCCTGTAAGTAGCTTATGGAAGGCTGTTAGGTACCCTCCTCCCATGGCATTCAGAGCAGCAGTCCCCAATCTTTTGGGTACCAGGGACCAGTTCCACGGAGAGAGGCTTTTCCGTGGGCCGGAGGGCACATGGTTTCTCGTGCTGCCTGCATCCCATTACAGGAGAAGATGGTCAACAGTTGTGAAGGCGGGAGAGGGCTTTATGCCCCGACGGCAGATAAAACGGTCGAACCATCTTCTAGGAGAAGGGAAACTCTGATTTCAAACCTCCATTGCCTTGTGGCTATATCTGTTATTGGAAAAGGCTTCAGGAATCAACCTAGAGACAAAATCCAGAGCCAGAGTCCCGGAACTGTGTATAATCACGTTCTGGTAACTCCTGCGATGCAGCTGCAACTAATCATATTGGCTCTTAGACTGTTCCAGTAATGTGGAGAGGGGGGAATCTGCTGCTTGGGTAACGGTTTATCCTCCATATTAAATTATACCCAGGCCTCGTGCTCTGGAGAGGGCACTCCAGCTTTGCATACAGCAGTGATCCCCAACCTTTTTTATGCCGCGGCCCGGTACCGGCATCAGCTGGGCGCCCCATCTTTTTTTGATGAAAACGTGCTTCCGGTGAGCTTTCTACCCGGAAAAGCTCACCGGAAGCGCTGGCGCCATCTTTTTTTGATGAAAACGTGCTTCCGGTGAGCTTTCTACCCAGAAAAGCTCACCGGAAGCACTTTTTCATCAAAAAAAGATGGCGGCGCCCAGCAAGCCAGCGGCCCGGTAGGATTTGTTCCACGGACCGGTACCGGTCCGCGACCCCTGGCATACAGCATTGAAACAACACGGGAAGTGGCAGTAACCAGTTTCATGGTTTCATAGCACGATACCGTCGTCTCTTGAGACTGAAGGATGGCATCCCACGGATGGAGCTTCATTTGTTGGCGTGGACCGGTTGCTGTGGCATGCCACGGACCGAAGGTTGAGGACCCCTGATTTAGAGAGGTGCACTTGACTTAACAACTTACCTTTTGTGTCTTTGGTTTCTTCTTCCTGGAATCGGAAATAGAGGTTCCGGGTTGTGTTCACCAGGCTTTTAAGAGGCTGGCGCATGATGCTGTATTTGCTAGCCACAGCTTTGTTGATCTCTGTGATGACCGCGTTCACGTGGCTGCAGGTCAGGCGGCCTTTCATGTACCTTCAGGGGAGAAGAAAGAAACTTAACACAAGTAAGACTGAAAGCTTGTTTTTCAAAGCACGGATGTCATAGGAGAATGACATACACAGTCTCTGGAGATTCTCAGTCATCCAGGTCATGGTTGTCCCAAAGGTGCTTTTTCAAGAGGCAACTGGACTTTCTGTTTTTCCTTTGAAGACGTTTCGCTTTTCATCCAAGAAAATTCTTCAGCTCTGGCTGGATGGTGGGGAATGGAAGGATTTATACTCCTTGAATGCTCTTAGTCATTTGCATTCTTCTAGAGAGTTGAGGCCACTTGGAGGGTTATCTGTGTCCTTAGGGACAAAGTGGGGGAGTATGAACGAATGGGGGCGGGAGTATGCATGCATTTCCAGAAAAATTGCAGACTACAGGAACCATTTGTATCTCAACCAGTTTGAGGTAGACACTACTCAGGTGACTCTGAGTTCACAATAAACCTGCAAGTGGCCTTTAACGACTCTGTAAAAGAATGCAAATGACCAGCTGTCTGCAAGGAATATTCCATCCAGTCAGAGCTGAAGAATCTTCTTGGGTATGAAGCGAAATGCCTTCAAAGAAAAACCAGAAAGTCCAATTGCCTCTTGGAAAAGCACCTTAGGGACATACATAGTATTTGTAAAGGATAAGAGTATAAAGCCTGAGATGTTACTGCAATTCATATCCAGAATTGACTGCTGCACCATCCCCACAGTCATGCAATTTGGACACTTGGCAACTGGCCTGTATTTATGACAGTTGCAGTGTCCCGGGGTCATGTGATCACCTTTTGCCACCTTCTGGCAAGCAAACTCAACAGGAAAGCCAGATTCATTTAACAACTGTGTTACTGACTTAACATCTGCACTGATTCACTTAACAACCGCGGCAAGAAAGGTCATAAAATTACTATGCGTAAGTGTTAACATTCTGGCTAGAGGGTGCTCAAAATGTCCACCTCCCAACAGGAAGTTGGATCAACCAATCAGCATGCAGGACACATTTGGGAGGCTGTGCATCAGCCAATCTGCAACCATTTGCAACCTACATTTACCTCTCAACTCTTTTGCAGCATAGGTATGTGTCAGTATCTACATCAGGGTGTCAAACTCAATTTCATTGAGGGCCGCATCAGGGCTGTGTTTGACCTCGGGATGGGCGTGGCCAGCACAATGTCAACTCATAAAATATTTCTCTGGTCTTTTAGTTGCCTGCAGAAAGGGAGGGGCAAGCAATGTAGCAGCTTGCAAAACTGAAACTGCATTCCATAAATGTTTTTAGAGATAGTTTCTAGGTGACCAAAGTTTCTGCTGTGCAAAATTCTAACTGGCGAGCATGATTGATGACTCTTGGCTATGGATGTGTCCCATTGGAGAATATGGATTATGATACACCCAGAGGGGTGGGGGAAAACCAGGGTCAAGGGTGACAATGAATGATGTGTCTCAGAGTCGGCTACATCCAGGTAGCACCGGCATTTTTACTCCTAATAAATCTTTAAGCTCTGGAAATCCGGCTAAAGGCTCATGATTTAAATGGCAGTAACTATCGGAGCCCTGACTCACCACATCACTCATGTCAGGGGCGCCTGTGGTGGTCCAAGCACTCTGTTTTTGGCTGTGATGGCTTCTTGCAATCCTCTGCCAGCGAAAATGGAGCTTAGGAGGGACATGCATGTCCCTCCCTAGCTCCATTTTCGCTGGCAGAGGCGCCGTGGGCTGGTCTGCTGTTTCCAGGTCGGCCCCATGGGCCAGATCTAAGCACCCCCACTGGCTGGATCTGGCCTGCGGGGCCTTGCAGTTGACACTCCTGGTCTACGTGAAGTTGTGTACAAACCTAAATCAAGCTTAAAACTATCTCTGGCCATCTCAGTGAGCCCAGAAGAGGGCCTTGTGAGATGCCAATCAAGCCATTAAGGATCACTCATTGAATCTGGCTTTTGAGTCATGGCTGAGTCACCCACTATATTATCTTTTGGCCCACATGACATTTTGAGGCACATTTGAGAAGAGTGTTATCGATCTGGCTGCCTTTCTGAGCTTATTGTCATTCCCCCCCCTCCCCCCCCCAAAAAAAAATTGATTAAGGATCCGGTTACTTGATGAATCATTGAGCAACAATACGCAACCTAATCACACGCAGCTAAATATATCAGCTACTCTGTGGGTGTTTATAATTTAAAAGAAGCAACAAAATATAATCACTTGGGTTCGAGATCATCAGTTGGACTAGGAAAAGGAAATAGGAATGGCACCGTTGTTTTCATCATGTTCAACTTCATGTTAACCATACACTTTTCCTCGTTTTTATGTTTATGGATATAGAGGAAAAGAAAATCAGAAGGAATAGTGCATTATCCAATCCCAAAGCCACCTCATTTCATTTGGAAGTCCACAGGTTGGACCTCAACACCCATAATCCCTTAACCACTATTCATTTATCAGTTTCCCCGCACCTTTATTACAGGTAGTCACCAACTTACAAGTGCATTCGTTTAGTGATTGTTCATAATTATAACGGCGTTGAAGAAAGTAACTTATAACCGTTGCGGCATCCGCATGGTCACGTGATCCAAATTCAGACCCTTAGCAACTGGCCTGTATTTATGACAATTGCAGTGTCCCAGGGTCACGTGATCAGCTTTTGCGACCTTCTGGCAAGCAAACTCAACAGGAAAGCCAGATTCTCTTAAAAACCATGTTACTAACTTAACTGTAGTGATTCCCTCTTAGCCACTGTGGCAAGAAAGATTGTAAGATGGTCAAAACTCGCTTAACGACTCTCTTGCCTAGCAATGGAAATGTTGGACTCAATTGTGATCGTAAGTCAAGGGCTATCTGGAGTTTAAATAACTTAAGGAGGTGAACATATCTAATACTCCTTCCTCTTCCTCTTTTTTCCACAACAACATTGTGAGGTGGGTTGGGCTGGAGTGAGATTGACTGGCCCAAAATTACCCTGATGGCTTTCATGCCGATGGCGGGACTAGAACTCATAATCTCCTGGTGACTGGCCTAAAGTCACCCAGATGACTTCCATGCCTAAGGCAAGACTAGAACTCACAATCTCCTGGTGATTGGCCCGAAATTACCTAGCCAGCTTTCATGTCTAAGGCGGGACTAGAACTCAGTCTCTTACTGATTGGCCTGAAATTACCTAGCCAGCTTTCATGTCTACGGCGGGACTAGAACTCACAGTCTCTTACTGATTGGCCCGAAATTACCTAGCCAGCTTTCATGTCTAAAGCGGGACTAGAACTCATAGTCTCTTACTGATTGGCCCAAAGTCACCCAGGTGGCTTCCATGCCTAAGGCGGGATTAGAACTCCCAGTCTACTGGTGATTGGCCCAGTCACGCAGATGGCTTCCATGCCTAAGGCAGGACTAGAACTCACAGTCTCCTGATGATTGGCCCAAAGTCATCTAGATGGCTTTCAGGCCTATCGTCCTGGCTGGGCATTAGGAGGGAAAGAGTTATAAAAATGTAGGTTTGCAGGTTACTCACGAGGGAATGCTCTCAAACTCCTCATCTGTTATGAAGGGTGCTTCTCTGATGCACTTTTTGGCTGACTTTTTTGCAGGCTTATTCTCCTCAGCTTTGCACGGTTCCTTCTCCTTTAGAGTTCCGCCGATCGAACTGCAATGCATAACAAAGAGAGTCCATCAAACGCTGACCACGCCAGTGGTATATAAGCCTAAGTGCTACTGCTATTGCTAATACTCCATATAATTGTTCAGTCTCATTGTAAAACGTGCAAAACACTGGCTATTTCTTCATAGTACATCTACCTCTTTTGCACTTTGAGAACCAAAGTGATGGATAGGAAACAGACCTGACTTGCGCAGCCTGGGGAAGGTAGATTGGCACATTTTCTTCAAGATGCTGGGCTTCTAGGTAGTCCCTCTCCACTGACTCTTGCAGATCCTGTAATTAGAAATATCAGTGCACAAGACTTGGATTAGTAGCTACTGACGGCCGTTTGGAATATGGAGAAAATCAAGACTAGCTAGTTTCTCATTTGGGAGATGCCATCTCAGAAATGGTTAAGCTAAATCTACTTAGATTTAGTAAGTACATATAGAAAGAAATATGGAACACTCTAGGAACAATGAAAGTAAAATGATAGCTTAGAACATAGAAAAAAAAATCCAGGGGCCTCCTGAAATTTTTGTTTTCAAAATATTTTAAAAAAACGACTATTTTCACATCAAAATGCCATGATAGAATTCTTTTGTTGCCTAATGAAAATACAGTATTTCAAATATACTAGTGATACAAATTCCAACCTATCCTGCATTAATCTACGTATTTAGATTCTTCTGTTGATTTCTAGTAATGCAAATCTTATTTTAGTCTCTCTGAGTTAAAATAAATAGAAAATAAAGAGGAGGCTTAGAATAAAGTTGCACTCTTTTTACAAATCAGAATTGAGCCCAAGATTTATGTTGTTAAGCGAAACATTTGTTAAGTAAATTTGTCCCATTTTACGACTTTTCTTGCCACACTTAAGTGAATCACTGCAGTTGTTAAATTAGTCACATGGTTGTTAAGTGAATCTAGGCTCTACATTGACTTTGCTTGTCAGAAGGTTGCAAAATGACTCTGAACACTGCAGCCATCATAAATAGGAATCAGTTGCCAAGCACCTGAATTTGGATCATGTGACCATGGAGATGCTGCAATGGTCATAAGTGTGAAAAATGGTCATAAGCCACTATTTTCACTGCCTTGTAACGTTGGACAGTCAATAAATGAACTGTTGTAAGTCAAGGACTACCTGTAGTGAGAACAAATTTGTAACTCTTGGTCGTCTGCTGAAGAAGACACCATGATAACCGTGATAGCGAACCTATAGCACATGTGCCATAGGTGGCACGCAAAGCCATTTGTGCCAGCACACGAGCTGCAGGCAAACTTACCTCACTGCGCATGCGTGTGCCTCATAGCTGATTTTCGGCTGATTTGAGGCCTTTTTCCGGCCTCCTAGAGGCTGGAGAAAGGCTTCTACAGGCTTCTGCAGGCCGAAAACTAGGCCTGTTTCACCATTTCCTGTTTTTCTGAAAACAGAAGTGATGAAACGGGCCTAGTTTTCGGCCTGCAAAGCCTGCAGAAGCCTTCCTCAAGCCTCTGGAGGGCGAAAAAGACCTCAAACCGGTTGAAAATCAGCTGTGAGGCGCAGTGAAGGGGGCGTCAGTGGGGGTGGGTGAGGATTGCACGTGTGTGTGTAGGGAGGTGTGCATTGCCTTCTGGGTGCTGGCACGCGAGTACGTGCATGCAAGCGCGCGCACAATTTTTGGCACAGAAGCACAAAAAGGTTTGCCACCACTGCACTGTAACAACTTTCCACAATAATGTGATACAGTTGTTCTCAACTTGTAGTCCACGGACCTTTCGGGTGCTGCGATGTTGACACAGGGAGTCCCCAAGGCTTTGAAGAATTTAAACTGATTTAAAAATTCTTGGGAGTCTGCGGCCATGGTTCGTGGCCACAAAAGGTGTTTAAAGAGGTCTGTGTGTATGAAGAAAAGGTTGAAAACCACTGATGTAAGTAGGCAAGAGGAACATTTGCTTCAGATGCTTAACATCTGTAGAGACCACATTCTTCTCAGAAAACACCTTTTGAGATTCTGAGGCACCAAACGTCATTAGTACCTTGAGTTTTTTCTGCAGTCTCTTCTGATGACAATATTCCTCTTCCAATTTATTGAGGAGGCTGTTTAAGAGAAACATTTCGTGGACTACCTTACTTAGCACTGTCTTCAAAGATGGATCTTTGTCTATAAATAAAGAAGATAAATCAAAACATGGAAAAAGTGGAAAAGGAATTAGATTAGATGAATAGAATAGAATAGTTGGAAGGGACTTTGGAGGCCATGTAGTGCAGGGATCGCCAACCTTTTCGACCTCAGGGACCACCAAACTCATATTTTCAAATCCCGAGGACCACTAATACGATTTTTTAAAAAAAAGATAATATATTTAATATATCAAAAATTAATTTTATATTAAATTTAATATTTAAAAAATCAACTATATATATATATATAGTTTGGAAAATACCCGAAAAACCAAAATACCATATATACATATATATGTAATGGGCCACAACAATAGAACTCAGAAGGTCATCACACAGCCCATGACCGAGGTCGTTACAACACAGGAGGCTGATAGACACACAGCCAATGCCTCAGCCACACATATTTGTACAAAAAAGCCAGCCAATCTGCAAACATCAACTCCATCAACCAATCAAGAAATGACAACACAGCCAACCTCCCCACCAGTATATATAGGGAGACGACAGCTCCGATCATGCTTTGCTCGCACAAGCACAAAGCCGAAAGCACCAACCTGAAGATGGCGAGTGGGACCTCGTCGAAACGTTGCCAAGATGCTCTCAGTCTTACATGGGAAAAGACCTGAACACACCAAGACCTGCATATATATATATACCGTGTTTCTCACAAAATAAGACCGGGCCTTATTTTATTTTTTTTGACCCCTGAAAAAACGGCTAGGCCATCTTTTCGGGGGTGACTTAATTTCCTCCCCCACCTAGAGCAGCCCATACACACGTACCTCGCCGTGAGGCCGTTTCTATCGGCCGACGAAAGCTCCCTTGAAGGCAGAGTCCCCAGCTGCTTCAGGGTGTGGCGTGGCTACCCGTGTCCCCTCGCCTTTAGGCAGTCTCTTTCGGACGATGGAAGCTCCCCAAGTGCAGTCACCAGCCACTTCGATTGGCCGGTAGAAGCGGCCTCAGGGCGAGCGCACACACACACGTACCTCGCCGCGAGGCCGCTTCTATCGACAGACGAAAGCTCCCTTGAAGGCAGAGTCCCCAGCTGCTTCAGGGCGAGGCATGGCTGCCTGTGTCCCCTCGCTTTAAGGCAGTCTCTTTCGGGCGATGGAAGTTCCCCAAATGCAGTCACCAGCCACTTCGGCCGGTAGAAAATACCCGAACAAAGCTGAATACCATACATGTAAGTACCCGCGAAAACTTCACACACACACACACACACATATTCTTATTTAATTATAACAAATTCGTAAATGCTTAATCATAGGATTTCTCTCATCCTTACTGCTGGGATTCAAAAGAAACCTGGAGGCTGGGAAGGTCTGGACCGGTTCCCCCTCAAATGGAAGAAAAGCAGAGCCTGTACCAATCTGGTTCCCTGTCATTTCATATCTCCCCCTCTTGCATTACCAGGGTTTCAGCCACTCTATGACCAGCCATGCAGATGAGGCAATAATCACAGAATCCAAAGGAATAACAGTGGTTTATTCCATCACAGCTGTAGCAGTAGCAAGAAGCAGCGAGCATATGTAAATAAAGTTAGCGCTGAATGATCATCGATCACAGCGTTCTATTTATCCCACTCGGTAATCGCCACCCCACATCTGGCAGCCCCACCCCACAGGTAGCCAGCATCCCGCTCCTAATTGATGACAGCTAACTCCGCTGTCCCACACCACAATGTGCTCATCACCAGGCTGTGCTACAATAAGTGGACCTCTGACACCCTCCACCAAGTTAACATGCTGCCTGCCATCTGTATCAGCTCAGCGATCTTCAGCTAGCGCGGATCTGTCGCTTCAATCAGCTGAGCATTGCATCATGGCTAGCTGACACCCTGCTGACGTATATTGTTAGCGCCTACTGCTGCTGTGGGGCAAGAAGTGGATCTGAAAGTTCGTAATGAGCTGAAATCATAGCTGGCCTGGAGAGTTTGTAGCAGGCTTCACTTGCGGCTAGCCTTCACCAGCCACTGTCCCCATTAATTCTCCCCCTCTCTCTCTTCTCTCTCTTTTCTTCCACCCCCCCCACCCCCCGTGCCCACCTGGAGGCAGGTGGGTGGATATGTTGGATATGTTTGCTGCCCCAAGTTATTTGTAAAAATAATAAAGGTGGGATACAAAAAAATAAACAAAATGTGGCATCAAACAGTGACTAAACAGATGCATTGAGGAAAGCAGTAATGCTTTTGCTGTTTAAGATATTCTTCCTATGATTCAGGAATTATTGTAGCATTAATTCTCCATATAATTGTTCAGTCTGATTGTAAAACTATCTCAATTGGCAGACACCACAACTATGCAACCAAATTGCATAGTTTATGCCTTGTACAAAGGGAATGAAATAATCTGCAGGTATAATGTTTATATCAGACTGGGATTTTCCATGCATACATTCCCAACAGATTCCCAGATCAATTTGCAAGCACCAAATCTGTCCTAAAGAAAATGAAATGCTCTTACCTATTTTTCTCAACTGAAGTGTCCTTTTGATATTTGAGATCTTGGAGTTGAGATGAATGCATAAGTCATTTAAGTTTGAAGAGATTGTATCCCATTTTCTTGCTTTAAGGGGGAAGAAGGAAAAATAGACTAATGCTTAGTTTTAAAGGTTACAATAACTAATGTTTTACACATTTTCACTTTGTAAGAAAAACAAGTATTTTTACCCATCTGCAATAGATACAAAAATATTTAATATCATAGATAGAGGGAACACAAAGGCAGAAATAGTTTAAGAAGTATTATAAAAATATATAAAATTAGAATTAAAAATATTATACACTGCACTTTTTACATATTTTCATGCTTTTCTAAGGATACAAATATTTTTACAAATTTGCCTAAAGATAGCAGAAATATTTAATATAATACCAATTCAAAAATAAAAATGAAAGCATTCTTTCGTTGAAAACGAAGAACAGTTGATATCTTTACTAACAACACATAGAGTAGCTGTATTTTATTACAACTATGATTAAATAGTTTCCCAAAAGAATTGTGGCCAGTTCCAAAAATGCTAAAAGGGAAGTAGTGTGTGTGTGTGTGTGTGTGTGTGTGTGTGTGTGTGTGCATGCACACACATAATATATGAATAGTAGTTAATTCCATATTATAAAAATAATATGCTATAATAGCAATATAACATATAATTTTATAATAATGCAAAATATAACAATTTTACATAATATTAAATATTTATTTATTTAAGTTAATGAAATATTAAAATATTATAATTTTGGAATTTTGTCTCAGAGTCACTGATTGAGATGGGCTGTTAGAGTAATAGAATAAATATTAATATTAGTTTAGACTGTACATTTCAAATACTACACAATTGAATTATTTCTAAAATATGTTTTCTTATTTTAGTTGTGAATATAAATAAAATATTTTATGTTTATATATAAAACAACAGAAAGAAAGAAAGTCATAGAGGGCATCCTGAGCTCACCGTCAGCATCACCGGGAGACTCAAATGCCACTTTCTCTTCTTCCATATCCACCAGGATCACACAAAACCAAAAACTTCCTTCCAGCGGCGACTCGCTCGCATTCAAACGACCCGCCCAAGCGGTTGAGCATCTCAAATCGCGCGAGAACTCGATCATGTCGCCGCGGAGGCTTGCCTATTCATTCCCAATCTCGGAGGGAGTGACGAGTTTAGCCATAGACGAGAAATATAGAGCGGCACAACAGTTTAGCCACCCATTTTACGAATGGTGAGTAGTTTAGCCACAGAGGAGAAATATAGAGCGGCACATAAGTGTTGGGAGATACAAATGTTAAAGTTGCGCAGCGTCGTCAAACTTGGGGGTTGGGGGGGAAGAGATGAATTGTACCGTTGGAGGAAAAAGGATTAAGAACGAAGTCCTTAGTTTGAACTAAAGGGGTTTGCGTCTGAATTGGCAGGCTGTTCTGTATTCTGTACACAGGCATAGAGGAATTTTATCAATAAGATAGACTTTAAAATTTGGCTCGGATGGAGTTTTTCCTCCTGCATTTTCAGTGATAAGAGACTGCCGAGCTGCAAAGATTTAAGATGAATCGACTTCAACTCCCAGAATTCCTCAGTCAGCAGAATTCTGGAATTTGAAGTCCATACATCTTAGAGTAATAGTTGGAAGTCCATATATCTTTAAACAGGGGTATTCAAACGTGGCAGCTTTAAGACTTGTGGACTTCAACTGCCAGAATTCCTCCTCCAGTCATGTTAGCTGAGGAATTCTGGGAGTTTTGAAGTCCACAAGTCTTAAACTTGCCAAGTTTGAAGACCCTTGTCTTAAAGAATAGCAGTTGGAAGTCCATACATCTTAAAGCAGAGGTCTCCAAATTTGGCAACTTTAAGACTTGTGTACTTCAAGTCCCAGAATTCTCCAGTCAGCATAGCTGGCTGGAGAATTCCGGGAATTGAAGTATACAAGTCTTAAAATTGCCAAGTTGGGGACCCCTTTCTTAAAGAATAACAGAGTAAGAGTTGGAAGGGACCCTGGAGGTCTTCTGTCTAGTCTAACCCCCAAATGCTGAGTTTGAGAAACACTGATCTGCACAATAACAGAGAAACAGGCAATTCCTGTCCTCACATGTAGCCCAAGAGTTAGATGTCCTAGGTGGAGGCAGAAAACATAACAGAAAAAAAAATCACCCCAAAGCCAAAAGTCCATTAAAAAGTATGCCTAAATACAATGTTTATCAACCTTGGCAGCTTTAAGATGGGTGGACTTCAACTCCCAGAATTCCTCAGAGCCATACTGGCTGGGGAATTCTGGGAATTAAAGTCCAGCCATCTTAAAGCTGCTAAGGTTGAGACACACTGCTATAATGAACTTATGAATTCTCTACACAAGGTGCTGGCCCTCGATGCTAATTGCTGTATGGTCAGGATCTTGAGTTCCTTAAAGTAGAATCCGAGTACAGATAGTCATTGACTTACAATCTTTTAGTGACTCTTTGAAGTTACAACACTTTTTAGTGACTTATGACCAGTTTTTGAATTTATGACCATTGCAGCATCCCCATGGTCTTGTGATCAAATTATCAACTGGCATGTATATTATGACAGTTGCACTGACCTAGAGTCAGTTTTAATCTTCTCAGATGGCTTCTTCTCAGATGGCTTCCCACGAGCAAAGTCAGTGGGGGAAGTCGGATTTGTTTAAGGACTGCATGATTCACTTAATTGATTCACTTGACAAAGATGGCATAAAAGACATAAAATGAGGCACAACTCAACAACTGCCTCGCTTGGCAATAGTTATTGTAAGTCAAGGACTTCATGGCAGGAATTCTGACCAGAGATAAACAGAATGACAGAGTAACAGAGTTCGAAGGGACTTTGGATGTCATTTAGTCCAACCCCATGCTCAAGCAGGAGACCCTATACCATTTCAGACAAATGGCTATCCAATCTCTTCTTAAAAGCCTCCAATGATGGAGCACCCACAACTTCTAAAGGCAAGTCATTCCACTGGTTAATTGTCCTCACGGTTAGGAAGTTTCTCCAGATTGCTTCTTTCCTTGATTAGTTTCCATCCATTGCTTCTTGTCTTGCCTTCTGGTGCTTTGGAAAATAGGCTGACCCCTCTTCTTTGAGGCAGCCCCTCAAATATTGGAATGCTGTTATCATGTCACCCCCTTCCCTTCTTTTCACTAGACTTAGCCATACCTAATTCCTGCAAGTGTTTATAATGGCAGCAACAGCCAACAGGAAGTCTGAGCAGTAAAATCTGTGTCCCTAGGCAGCATTACAAGGCAGTTGTAGCTGAATGGAAGCCTGAAGTGCGGGATGAAACTGGGAATGCAATGGTTCTAGTATTCAAGCAAAGAGAGGGCTGAAGTCCAATGATCATTTGCTCATAACCAGTTTCCACATTATTTGGAAAGCTTAGCAAAACCATTCAGAGCCGTTCTTAGATGTAAACTAGACTCCAACACACATAAGGTTAAACAAAAAAATCTAGCCTTGCGTTCACTCAATATACTTAGTTCGTTTTAACCGGGTCTTTTGTGTCATTTATGCTTTTGCAATTCATTGGATAGCTTGTGGTTTGACGTTTTATGTGTATGTCCTTATACATAAGGACTGTTTCAATCATGGGTTGTATGAATGCAACCTTAGCAAAACAAGTGAAAAGATCCAGGAATTTGCTGTAATAGGATAGTCAGGCTTCTCTTTCCTGATCCTCATAGTTCTGTTCCTGGCAGATGTTGGCTGGATTCTGAAACTCATGAGGGATGGGCCTGATTGGCACTTGGATGGGAGACCACCAAGTGATTCCAGAACTCAAGATTAGGCTGGGATATTTTTTAAAAAAATTCAAGAAGGGAGCAATTACTGGTACACAGCACCAATACTGCCAGCTCCATGGAAGTGTAAGTGGAATCAGAAGGGCCTAAATTCATCTTAAGAGACTTTATTGTATGTGGTAGTTGAATTCCACAGCAAATTGTAGAAAAGTCATTTAATATTTTTGCCATTCTATGTATGATAGAAACCCAGAAAATGTATTTAAAATGGGGGGGGGGGGGGAAATAATTCCAAAACAGGACACTAGCAAAGTCCTTCCATATTTTCAACATTGCCTGTGAAGTAATCAGAAATCAAGTTTAAACAAAATATCTTAAGTGTCCTTGTGTTACTATTTTACACTCTGGCTATTTCAGTTCTCCTGTTATTTTCAAATGAAATAAAATGCTGTACTTTTTTTTGGAAGTATTTTATTTAGGTTTCAGGAGGCTCTTTATGTAAAGTATCCATACAATACTCAACAATTAAAGAGAAATGGTTTGAATGTTTTCCCCCCAGCAACACATATGCTATGTAAGTTGTTTCTCTGCTTACAAAAACAAGAGGACAAAAAATGAATATATCTGTTTGTGCCCCAGCAAGTCAACATCCTTCATCTGAAGAAATTGTTTTAATGCCATCCAAGAATGCAGAATAATATTGGAATGAAAGTAGCATCACAGTTTTAATATATTTCCAGGCACATCCTGAAATTTTACTCAACTGCAGTGCATGCTGGATTATTGGGCCAAAAATAGATTGCATTCAAACTGGAGCATCCAGTGAATAAAGACTAAAAAAAAATCAAATCACATACACCTAGATCGGCCTTCTCTAACCTGGTGTTTCTGGAATACATAACTACTCCATGCAGATATGGCTGGGAATATGTAATTAAACCACGACTTCTGAAGGATTCCAGCAACTCTAATTTTGTTCTGTAGCTCAACAAATTTATAGATGGGAATTGTACTTAGTTTTGACAGACCAGAACTAAGGATGCAGTGGTAACAAGGAGTAAATATATTTTTTCAGAGATAAGGCTATGGTTGATATTTAGAGCAGAGTAAAACGGGCATGTCCAACCTTGGCAAGACTTCTGGACTTCAACTCTCAGAATTCTCCAGCAATCGTGGGTGGTTGGGGAATTCTGGAAGTTGAAGTTCAAAATCTTTAAAGCTACCAAGGTTGGACACTCCCCGCTTAAAGTCTGAAGCCTATTTTAGGGATTATGTTACAAATTTATTGTGCTTCCCCTGTATGAATTGTCGGTTTGGGGGATCTTTACTACCAGAATTCAACATTGAACATCATGAGCTAAAAAAAAAAAAGGAGATTAGGAACCTTTATGCATTTCTGAACTAACTCAACTTCTGAGCAAAAGAATTTACATGATCAGAAATGTAATGGATATTCTGTTAGGAAAGCTGATCACTCCCAGATGAAATCTACCTGTCTAAATCTCCCAAAATTACTCCAGAAAATGTCAGTCTAGAGAAAATGCAATTCTCAGCATTCATACCTGCACTTTTTCTTGGGAGAAGAGTCCAGCTTCAATCCAAGGCATGCTATGTTCTCAACATTTACCTCAGAGTGGATTTCAACATGTCTAACATTTAGTCATTTCCACTGGATTTTAGAGAGTTGCTATAAGCACCTAGCTCTTTACCATATGCCAATGGCCCAGCCAATCTGGGAAAAAGTATTTCTTGGGCAAAATTTTTTTTTTTAAAGTCTATTCAAAGATACATTCACGAATTATATCAGACACTGAAATCGCAGACGTTGGTCTGCCTTTTCTGGTGAATGTCTCCATCTGCTGTTTAAAAAAGGGCACCTTAATTTCAACTACATCAGACAAATCTCAGGCTTAATCAGGATGTTAATGCCAACTATTTCACCTTTAATATGACTTCTGAAAACCAGTGTAATTTCATTTGGGATTTCATAAAAAGTAGTCTAATGCTTTCTACTCAAGACATCTTTCCATTTTTGTTCATGGAGATCCCAAAAGGAAAAGTCCTCTATTTCTTGGTCAGGCAAACACTCCGGTGCTCAAGGACTGATACCCTTGGTTTTCCTTCTTGCAGGCCAACATGCAGATTCCCAGCATTCCAAAAAACTGAAATGAAAAAAAACCCCACAGTAATTAATCTTACAGTCTGCGTACATAGCTCGAAGAGAATATTTGTTAGGTCAGGGTTAAACTGTAGGGTGCTTGATGCTTTCTGAGCTTGGCAGCTTTTCTTGCAGACATTTCACTACCAAACTAGATAACATCATCAGGGCTACTGGTTTTAAATGTTCCTTCTTGAATTCTAGTGG